AAAACTCAGCAAAACCTACAATTTTTAATTATGGGGCCTATTTTCAGTCCAATAGGTTATAAAGCCATTCATAAGACATGAAGCTATTGAGTTTTGCATGGTTTCAATTGGGAACCATAGACTGTGCTAGGTTCCCTTGAAAATTGGCTCAAGTTCAATCAAAAGGATCACTAATCTCTGAAGGCCTGTCCTAAACTTTGCAGTTTTAAATGCAACAGAGAGTCCTGTGGCACCTTTAAGACTAACAGATGTATTGGAGCATAAGCTTTCGTGGGTAAATGCCCACTTAAACAACGAAGACTTACCCCCTAATAAATCTGAAAATATAAAAGGTGCCACAGGACCCTCTGTTGCTTTTTACAGATCCAGACTAACACGGCTACCCCTCTGATACGTGGCAGTTTTAAATGAAACTCAAATCTAGCATTTTTCACACCCCTTGATGTAGCTGTGCTGATCTAACTTGTTGGTGTAGACCTGACCTAACTGAGTGTTAGTGAAAGCAGCTTTGGGGGGGTCTACTATCAAATGCTGAGGAAACTGTTAGGTTTTAACACTTAACCCAGACCTTGAGGCTAAATCTAAAGCACTGTTTTTAAATAGCTAAATATGCTTCAGATTTCCTGAAGCCATTAGTAAAGAGAGGAGGCATCTTGTCCCACTCAGGACTGTATTACCGACAAGCAATTGCAAAACAGCTATAGATTTATCCCACTCCATTTTAGTGATTGTACAGGGGCAAGGATTGAATACAAACCAATATTTCAGTCATGCAAAGCGCTAATGTAGGCCACAAAGTAATAGAAGAGCCAGTCTCTATAGAAAAAGCTCCTTCTCCAGCTGTTTAGCCCTGCCTGTTTATCTTGCAAATGAATCCTAATTCTTATTATTGCTCCAGAAAGTCAACAAGCTGACTTAATCAAGAATTAAGTTACACCCCCTTTCGTTAAATCTGTCTTTAATTTACACTGCACAAGAGCCAAAGTCTCAGAGTTTCATAAGAAGCAAAAGCCCCTTGAAATGTTCACATTTTATTTACACTTTGTGTGCAGGGGAAAAGAGAACTGCCTCTTTCGATGGGATGCACTATTGAGAAGATGCTGCCTTTGATTCACTGACGCTGTAGAAAGATGACCATGGAGAAAAAAAGACCTCTACATGTCCTAGGGAAATTATAATCAAACCAAGGGACATTCTATCTATTAGCCAAATTCTGACCTTCACACTGCGAGAGGCGCCTGGGTGGAGGAATCGTAACAGTGACAGATGTTCCCTGAGCCAAGCTGACTAAACAAGGCAGGATGGCTCAGAGGGGCCAGACTACAGCATACTTTGGACCACACCTCATTGCTGCACCTCCCTTAGTGCCTGTCACCAAAGCCAAACAATGTCCCATGGCCTAAGAGCCTGGGATCAACACCCAAACTAGCTGGCCTCGCCCTTTTGGGGCTATGGAATGCTATCTAGTATGTCACTGGGACCCCTGGCAAGCATGTAAGGAAACAAATACATGTTCTACTATGGTCCTGTATGGGTGCACTGTTTGGGGGGTGTCAAGGCTACTTCCCCACTCTGAACTTTAGGGTACAGATGTGGGGGCCTGCATGAAAACTTCTAAGCTTAACTACCAGCTTAGATCTGGTCCGCTGCCACCACTCCCAATGTGCTAATTCCCTTCCCTGGGTAGCCTTGAAAGACTCTTCACCAATTCCCTGGTGAATACAGATCCAAACCCCTTGGATCTTAAAACAAGGAGAAATTAACCATCCCCCCTCCTTTCTTCCACCAACTCCTGGTGGATCAAGATCCAACCCCTTTGGATCTAAAAACAAGGAAAAATCAATCAGA